TACAATGACATGAAAGACCAGCTGAAGGAATACTTGCAGAAGTTTGCAGAGAACAGGAAGGTTGTCCGAGAGGAAGATATTCGCGAGTTTTTCAGTCAAATGGCTCGTAAGCGTCCTCGTGTTGAGGTTTCATCATTTTGTCGTTAGGTTTCAGTCCTTCACCTTTTTCAAAATTGAGTTGGAATCAGATATTTTTCATGTAATCCCATAGCCTTAGGAATAATTCAGGTGAATCCTTTTCCCTTAAAATTTGTGGTTTTCTCAATATTGTTTTTCTCTATTGAGCCTCTTATTTTCCATGATCTATTTAATTCAAATGTACCTGGAAATTCTTTCTTCATTCATTATTCCCTTATGTTTTTGTACCTATGTTTTAATTTTCTTTTGAGCAAGATTTCATTTTTCTAAGTCAGTTTGACTATTTTGTGTTGACATTTTGGTCTGTGTATCTGTGATTTTAGGCTTCATCCACTAATGAAAATTTAATGTGTGTTATTGTTGCTGTGTTTTGCCTGGAAGCTGTAATGAAAGGGTATATCCCTCTGTTGTTTCATTGGTGGATGAAGCCTTGAAATTGGGTGATCTGGTTAAGTTAAGATTCAGCTTGAAGTGTGATGCATTCTAAATGTACTGTCAAGTTTTTAGTCAAAAAACAAAATTGTACCTCATGCTGAAGTTAGCTACTTGTGTTTTGATGGTGGTGGCTAATGTAATTTATGTGCTACATATGTCCTTGTTCTCTTACCTTTATGGTCAGCAACTGGCATATTTTTATCCAAAAAAAAAAGAAAAGTATATCTTCTATGAATTGTACCCCTGTACCAATTTTAAATGCATGTTCTCTGTAGAAAATAATTGATTAAGAATCTGTTCTTTTTCTCTTTTAGAAGTTTTTGATTTATATTTGTGTAGAAGCTTGTTTCTTCATACAGTTTTCCTTTTTATATGTTTACTTTTCTGTAGTAGTTTTGTTGACAAATTTGAAATTGAATTTGGCGTTGTTTCTGTAAATGTCAGTTGATTTGCAAGTATTATAGATAAATGTGAAAATTAAATGGGTCTTGTGTAATAAAACTCGCTGGAGCAAAAAGAACTCTAACATCTATACAGTATTTATAAAACTCCCACTCGAAATGACAGTCGTTTGCTGGTGAACAATGTGCTCCGTTGGACAGGTCCGGCTGGTTCTTGCTCTTCAGGATGCCAGCCGGTGCGGCCGCTTGTTGTAGATGCCGTTGATGTCGTCGATGTCGTCCAGCACCGAGTTGAGTTCGGCGGTGAGGTCGTCGGCGAGGAGGCAGCGCGCCGACAGCGGCCGGTGCGGGGAGAGCGGCCGGACCGGTGGCGGCGGCGTACAGGGCACGGCGCACGGCACGGCCAGGGGCAGGGGCTCGTTGTGGTCCCAGCGACGCGACACGAGCGTGAAGTCGCGGTGCGCGGCGATCAGCTTCTGCAGCCGCGCCAGGATCTCGTAGTCGGAGGCGGGCAGGTCCACGCCGAGGAGCTTGCACACGGACGAGCGGAAGCTCAGCAGCTGCGTCTCCTTGCGCGCCGCCTCCGACAGCGCCGCCTTGCTCGAGGTGAGGTCCTCCCTCAGCAGGTGCGCGGCGTGCTCGCCCAGGGACCTCTCCTGGTTGGCCGACTGCGCCGTCGCTCGCACCTGTTGCAAACAGCGACCGCGTTAAGAGTTTGCTGCACACGGCGGCCATCCTCGTAGACTTTCTCGCCGACTCACTTGGTCCTTGAGGATGTTGACCTTCCTGTTGTACTGGGTCCGCACCACCTCGGCGTCCATCAGCCGCTTCTGCAGCTCCTCGATCCTCCTCGCGCGCTCCAGAGCCGTGATCTGTGGGAGGCGAGCAGGGTTCGTTCGTTAGCCGGCGCTGCACAACGACACCACAACGATGTAAGCACCTCCGAGGACCCACCTTGCAGTCGGCTGCATCGGCCAGCTGCGCCTTGAGGTCCCTGTTGAGCGTCCGCGCCTCGGCCAGCTGCAGCTGCAGGCAGTCTACCTTCTTTTGCAGCTTCTTGGCTCTGGGGGAAGCACGGGCGGGTCAAGGCAAAGTAAACATTTCAACAAAAGGAAAACTGTTGAAAATTTTGGCCAGTTTTCCAGTTGTTGGCTCTACCTGAGACTGATTTCGTCGCGCTCCGACTCGACCACGGCTCGAGCGCGGCAGCTGTCCACCTGCAGGGCCAGCTTGCGCCGGAGCAGGTCGAGGTGCAGGTCGCGCCGCTGCAGCTGCTCCCGCAGGGTGCGCACGCGCCGCTGCAGCTGGTACACCGCGGCCGTCTGGAACACGTCGCGCGCGTTAATAGCGGTCGCTAATCGTGGGCGGGGCCGGCAGGAAGGAAAGAGAGGACGAGGATGAAGGAAACCTACTGAAGAATCGAGCAGCGTGTTGTGGTTAGCCGCTAGCGAGCGCGAATGTGTGAGGGTGGAGAAATGTGTCAACTACGAGACATGAGAAATGGTCGATGATGTGAGACGCTCCCCCAGTGTGTCTGCGTGTTAAATCAAGACTCACCCCCTCCCCCACCCGCCAGGATACAAGACATGCAGCGACAATGAGGAAAATGACCGAATGAAGATGATCTGAGTGGCGAATGCCGGTATGGTGGTATGGTGTCCGCTACGCTAATCGCTCGGATGCCCAGCTAGCTGCCTAGCCTTACTTCCTTGCCGGGGAGCTCCCTGGGCGAGCGCGGCCGCCGCAGTCTGGGCAGGGTCATCCCGCTCAGCAGCAGCTGCGACCAAACAACGTCATCCACCCTCCTCGGCAGCGCCCTTGGGCAAGCGCCCACCCCCACCCCTAGCGCCGCGTGGCCCCCACGCCCGCACCCACCTTGTCCACCATCTTGTCGCTCTCCAGGCGGGCGAGCTGGTCGGCGCGCACCAACAGCGCCTCGGTGTGCATGTCGACGCCGATGTCCTTAGACACCTCCTCCATGTTGAGCGCTCGGCCCAGCCGGTCCAGGAACTCCATGAACTGGAAACAAGCGTGGCGTGGTCACTGGTCACTATAGCTCGCGGTGAAAAATGACTACCTAAATTTTCGTCGATTCTGTGCTGACCAATCTCTTTTCTGCTTCAAGATACTCTCTGTCATCAAATTGACGGCTATTCATTTCTCACCGGGAGGATGTAAGAGACCACACTCACCGTGCACTTGTCCCTGCGCAGGGCCTCCCGCGCCACGTCGCACGCCGTCAGGTCGCTCTCCACCTTGTGCAGCCTGGACTCCAGGATGGCCTTGTCCTCTTCCAGGACGCGCGCGCGGCACGACGCTGACTCTGCGATCTCCGACTGCCGGCCGAGCTGTTGCTGCAGTCCGCAGGCCTTGTCCCGCAGCGTGTCCATTTGCTAGACAAAAGACATCGGCTTGTAGCAGTGATTTAAATCGTCCCGCAGCGGCCTCTCGGCGAACGGTGGCACTCACCACCACGAGATCCTTGTTGTCTGAGAGGATCTCTCGGATGCGCTCCTTGATGCACCCCTCGGTGGACTCGACGAAGCGGCTGGGAGAGCTGACCATGATGGCGAGGGACTCAAGCAGGTGGCGCAGCTCGTTCTGCAGACGCATCCACTTCTCCTCCCGGATCTTCACCTCCTCTGCGAACGGCCGGCGCCAGCGTGGAAGCGCGGGCGTGATCATTCAGGATCGCGGGTGGGCTGGGCTCGGGGCGGGGGCCGCCTGTGGGCAGGCCGCGCCGCAACGCTCGCCCGCCCAACGGGACTGCCCACCTCGCAGGCGCTTCTCCCGTCTCACCGCCTGCGAGGTGGGCAGTCCCGTTGGACGGGCGAGCGTTGCGGCACGGCCTGCCCACAGGCGGCCCGCTCGCCTGCCCGATGGGTCCACCTTACCTCTCAGAGAGCAGATCGCTGACTCTTGTTGCGCGCAGCTGGTGGTGCACGCGCCCAGCGACCGGCTGGTGACGGCCAGCTTTTCCCGGACCTCGGACAGCTCGCGCTCCGTGCAGCGGTGCGCCATCTCCACGGCCTCCTTGTCCTGCGTTCAGGTCTCTGATCAGCGGGTGCGCCCAGGTAACTCGAAAAAGACTCGACGACGTCACTTTGATTTGTTTGGGTCAAAGTGAAGTCGGGATGAGTTCGTCAATGTTTTGCCGGAAGCATTCAGTATGACGCCGTTTGTGTGACGTTCCCCGGGCGGGTCTCACCTGCTTGACCCGGTCCATCTCGCACATGTGCGCGGCCTGCTGCCGCTGCAGCGCCTCCCTGCAGTTGCGCAGCTCCTGCTCGGCGCTCTGCAGCGACTCGCACATGTTGCCGGCGCGAGTGCGCAGGCGGCCCGCCTCCTGCACCAGCTCGGCCGCCCGCACGAGCAGCACCTCGGGGCTGGCGTCCACCAGCTCGGCGCCCAGGGCGGTGGCCAGGCGGCGCACCAGGTCGGACAGCGCGGTCCTGGCCGCGTCCTTGAGGCCCTCCTCCTCGTGGCACTCGAGCTCCAGGCGGCGCAGCTTGGCCTCGAGTTCCGACACGCGTTCCGACGCCTGGCGCGACTCGCGCTGCAGCGTCTGCACGGCCAGCTCGGACCGGCCCAGCGAGCAGGACGCCGAGCGCTCGCGCTCCTCCAGCTCCTGCACGCGCTTCCGCAGCGAGGCGATCACGGAGCTCTGCCGCGCCGCCTGCTCGCGCAGCTGGTCCGACTCCACCTGCAGCTCCAGGGCGCGCTGCTCGCGGCACCGCAGCTGCCCCTTCATGTCTTGCAGCTGCCGAGGGCGAGAGCGGAGGGTGAGTACGGCTGTCGGCGACACGAGGCACTGCCTGAGGCACTCGACTCGAGAGGTGCCATACTCACCTCGGCCAGCAGCCGGTCCCGCTTGTACTGCAGGGCGGCCAGCTCGCTGCGCAGCGTGGTGGCCACGTCGTGCGCCATGGCGTCCTCGGTCAGGCGGTCCGGGGTCTGCAACAGCGGAGACCGGGGGTCAGCGGCGTGGGGGGTGCAGAGTGGGGCATGCGGGGGCGCCACCCCGCCGAGCGCCACCTTTTAACCGCCATCGCTGAGTTTGTAAACTATCTTCATTGCCGCGCCTACTGTGTGCGCGGGAAAAATCAAAAGGGGGAGGTGGACTATAGGGGCGCTTAGCGCCGCGCAGCGCGAGGCGCGAGGGGCGCGGCAGGCGTGGGGCCCAACCCCGGTGGTGGCGGTTGGGGGAGGGGGGAGGCAGGGGCTGCTTTCCGGCCTAAAGGGGTGGGGTTGTTGAAAGGGCCCTGCTCTGCTGTGCCTACACGTGACATCGGGGCCAACCTAGTTCAG